ATTAGTTTTTGAAAGAATATTTTGAATATAATTTGAGTGTAAGATAAAGAGAGCCATCAAATTGAGGACGGACTTCAATCCTTGCTATAAAAATAGTCCATATCACCAACATTGAGTTTGTTGAGTGAAGATTAAGAAAATAGTTGTTGAACAAGAGTCTAAACGAGTGATGTATTGTTGCATGAAATAATAATGTTATCCATGTGAACTAAACGATTGACTTTATAACCATTTATAAAATATATAAATAATATATAATAGATCACATTTGCTAGATGTGAAGTGAAGATATAATAAGGTAGTTTGTAACCTTTGAACCCAATCTCATGATGTTTGTCTAGGGCTAAAGATAATCTTTATTAGTTTACATATAATTTATTTTATTATTTATATTATATATTATTTTGCTAAATCACTTTAAATGCAATCATATATTTTACTTTTTTTTAATCAAGTGAGTGAAAGACAACTCAATAAACTAAAATTATTTTAGCATATTTTAATAAAATATATTTAAAAATCTAATGATTAATATCCTTTAATAATGTTAAGTTAAAAACTTCAAACTCTATAGTTTAATATATCTAATATGACGATGACAATATAATATTAATATCTCTCAAAGAATAATAATGTAATTTATTATAATTTTAACAAATGAAGAGAATATAATGCAATATTTGTATATGAAAGGATTGAGATTTAATACTCTCATATTTTTGAAGAAAATAATGTAATTTGATTATGTTTTGAAAAATACAAATAGTTATATTTTATTTTTAAGAATTTAACATATATATATATATATATAGAGAGATAACATATACCGTGAGAACATGTTTTATTATAAGAGATGAAAAAAATAAATCACAACTTTTAAATTATAGATAAAAAAAATTTAATAGTTAATATTAAAATTTAATTATACATACTTGCAAAATTATTATTATTATACATTTAACAACTATTAATATCACAGCCACTCATCATTACAATTGTTACTAATATTATTGTTGTTATTGTTATTGTTGTGGAGTCTAACAAGTTAAACAAAATGAGCTTCCCACCAGCAAACTAATGTGGGTTGAGCTTCTAGAATCTAGACTCAATACTTTTCTATTAACATAACACATTGAAACTCATACTTATTTTATTTTTCTAAAAGCACCTGTTATTTATTTTTAAAAATAGAATTAATTAAATTAATTAAATATTTTAAAATTTTAATTAACTAAATTAATCAAGTCAATAAAATAAACAATAATTACACAACTATATTTATTTTATTTTACTAAAATCTAATGTTACGTCAACTACATGTAAATTAGCTTACCACAACACTTTTTTTAATTTAACTCTATTTTTTTTCACATCACAATTATTTTATCGGATAAAATTTAAAATTATAAAACCAAAATACAATAACTTAATCATTCGTCGTATATTGTGATAATTAATATGTTTTTGCCACCAACTGTACTGTTATTCTTTATCAATTAGTGTGAGTAGGCACACAAAATAACACTCATAAAATAAAAAAATAAAAAAAAACATGTTATGTTTGGATGAGTGGAAGGCGAGTGAGAGGGGAAAAAATTGAAATTGAAATTGAAGTGAAAATGGAAGGAAAATAAAACATTTTTTTTTTCATTTTTCAAAGTTATTTATTTATTTTTTATTTTCCTTTCAAACAAAACAAAAATATCATATTTCGTGTTCTTTTTTATTCTCTCTATTTTCTTACCTTTCACTTTCTTCATTTCCAAACACAAGCTAAGTAAATAATGTAAATGTTACTGGCTTATAATAAATTGTTTTAATGCAAAATGTTTATTATTGGTGTTCTTATTATTTATTTAAAATTTGAAATTAGTTTGGTCCTCTTTATAAGATTTAATTTATTTTTTTATAAAAATATTCTTATTAAGTATATATCTAAACAAACAATTTATTTAAAATTTTATATAATAAATTTTTATTTAATATAAATTTATATTATAAGTGCTTAAAATTTTATATAAGTTATATTTGAATATACATGTTAAGAAGTACAAATACAATTTTAAAGTACTTAGATATATCATTAAATACTTGTAAGGTGTTATTTTATTTTAAAAATTAAAAAATTTACAAATTCAATTTTGACTGAAGGTAAAATAAAAATGTAAAAAGTAACAAAATAATTTTAAAAAAATTGACATTATACATCATAATAATATTAAAAATGTTTTAAAAAATGTTAGTCACCATCGATCCAATTTTATTTTATAAAAAATAAATTAATAATAAAATACGTTTTTTTAAAAAAATTATTGTATAAATATCAACAACAAAATTATTTCAAATGTGTTATTTTAAAGAAAAAATAAAGTTGAGTTTTTTTTTTTATAATAGGGAATTTGGGAGGAAGAGATAGAAAAAATTTGGGAAAGAGAAAAAAAATAAAAACTTTTAGATAAAGAAACAAAAGCTTTTAGAGGAAGTGATGAAAAAAAATATATAACTAAATTTTAGTAAAAATATTAAAAAATAAAAAAAAATTATTTACGTTAATAACAAGATATAAACTTAAATATCTTTTAATATGTTTTTATATAGGTTAAATAATAAGTTACACTAAACACCTTATCAAAATAAGTTAAAAATATCTTATGAATTACTAACAAAATATTTTATAAATTTGTCTGAATACTCTTATAAACTTTTTTAAAATAGACCCAAATGTATTTTTGAGTTTAAGAAGCAAGCAAGTTTTATTTAATTCATGTCTTAAATATAAATAATCTCATTTTTTATTCTTAAAATACACAAAATTCTCTCTCTCTCTATATATATATATTAAATATTTCATTAATTTATGAGTAGGTTTGAAAAGAAATAGAAAGTGAACACATATTTATTAACTCTAAAAAAACTAACTTTTCCTAATTGTGCTGAATTAGTTATCTAAGTTATTTAAAAAAGAATAATAAAGATATGAAATTGTGGATCTTCAAAGTATATCCAAACACACAGTCACTAAAATGCAGAAAGTATTTATACATCAATTGAGAATTGGAAACAAGTAATCTGAATAACAAAAGCCTAACGAACCAACAGACAATTTTGGCATGTAAGTTGCCTACACTTAGTATTACAAGTGACATGTGGGTAGGCAAAGAAAAAAGAATAGTAATAAAATATGGAAATTAAAATGATGATATTTATAACAAGAAAGCTTAACTGAAGTGAATAAAGAGGGGTAACTGGTGCGAAAATTACTGTACCAATTTACTCATATAGCGAATCTAATACACCAACGTGTCAGTTGGTGACAGCTTCTTGTAATGGAACACGAGAGAAAATGAAAATAAACGCCATTCTCTTTCTTTTTCAATGGCATCAGTCGGTTATCACTTGGTCAATTACCCCTAATATTTAGGAAATAAATAAAATATGCGAAATAAAATGGAAACTCTGATAACTAAAAAAAATAAAAATAGAAACCAAATAAATTGGTTTGGCGTTCGTTCTCGACCTCGAATTTAGAGTAATATGTGCTTCATCAAGGTTTGTACTCGACCTCGGATAAGTGGTTCGTACTCGACCTCAGATTTAGAGTAATATGTGTTTCATCAAGGTTCGGATTCGAAAGGGCATTGACTATTAAAAAGTGGAACAAAAAAATTCGGTATCTTTTTTATATTATTATTATTATTATTATTATCATTATCATTATAATTATCATGATTATTATTATCATTATAATTATCACGATTATTATTATTATTATTATTATCATCATCATCATCATTGTCATTATCATTATTATGATTATCATTATCATTATTATAATATGTATTATATCTTTTTTTAATTATGTGTTGTAGTGTTTTAAGGAGTGTTGTTGAGAAACTCTGAGAGTTAAGGAACTCCTAAAAAGTCTTTAGGTATTTTAGAAGGTTTCTCTAAATAGAGGTCCAATTTGATCACGAATAAATAATAAATAATGTTTCTTTTGAGATTTAAAACTTTTAATAAACTCATTTCTCAGAGAACATAGAAAGATAAACTACAGAGAAGGACTCTAAAATTATTATTCTTCTTTCTTCTTTCTAGACTCCTCGAAGGCATAAAAGATTCTTGTTGATCAATTGAGTTGCAATCCAAGGCTGTTGAAGTTGAGGATTGGAGTTGGTGCGAAGTAGCTCAAGGACGTTCCTTTCTTCTTCTCCCTTCTCAGTTCACTTTGACTTTGAGCTAAGAGAAGCTAGTCTTGATCATTGTTGATTGTGTGTGGTCTATGTTGATTTTCACTTTGGTAGGTGCTTGAATTTCAAATATTGGTGGTTGTATTAGTTGATTCTAAGAATAAAAGGTGATATTGGTGTTTGTTCATGATGTGAAATTTGATGTTTTGATCAAATTGTATGTTGCACGTTGATTTTAAGGTTGGATTGATATGAGTTGTTCATAATGAATATATATAATTTTTGTTGTTTCGTCTTTGGATTTCTGGTTTTTAGGTGAAAGGAAAACAAATTTGTGATCTACTGTGAGTAGTACTCATCATCACATGAAACATGCATGTCTTGATGGCACCGAGCATGGCTTAATTCAGGGACCTATATCTCACTTGTATTGAGTGTAAAATTGGTTGTGCCAAGTGCGAGGAAAAGGAAAAATCTTTGACTCGACCAAATTGGGAGTAGTTTGAATAGCATTGGACATGAGATGAGAGAATTAACTTTTCCTGAATTGACATTGGGCGCTAAAGAAGTGATGTTTGGCATAAGGAAAAAGACTCATTTTTGCTTGGAACAAGATCATGCATGAGACTTTTCCATGCTAGGTGCAAGGGCCCAAGGGTCACTATCTCATCCACGTCGAGCGTGATTAAATGGTGTCGGGCATGGGTAAGGCAAAAGACTCCTTACCTCAATACACAAAGTACAAGATGGATAGTGTCAGGTGTGGGTTTCCTTATAATAACTTGTTTTTTATATGATTAATTGGTGAAAATGGAACAGAAGAGCTTTGCAGAAATTTTCCAGGTGGCTTGCTTCTTTTGCCTTTGATTGATTTATTGACTCTGAATCTGTGCTGCATCTGCTTCTTTGTTTTCCCTGGATTGTTTGATTTGGCATTTTGTATTTTCAGTTTCATCTGTGACATATGGTTAATTGATGCATATGTAGTGAGTTTGCATAAAATCTTTGGTTGTCTTGTTCAGATGTTTTGATTCATGATTGTAATTCTTGAGGGAAGTTATGTTTTCATTAATGGAATGCTAAATGCTTGTATGTATACTATACGGCATACTGTAGTGCATATGTACTGTAGTACTTTATTGTCAACTGTAACATGTATCAGTTTGGGGTTGAGATCCTTGCCAGTTAATTGGTCACCAGATAATAAATATAACATTTTAATTGAAGGGACGGTTAGATTCTTCTCTGTATCTAGTGCATTGAAGTTTTTTCACTCCAAAGGATTCATGCCCATCAGTCTGTTAGTTAAGTTAACACATCATGTAACTAACTGTTTCTCTTTTCTGTAATAACTGAGTTATAACAGAACCTGTTCAACTGAAATAATTATATTACGACAGTTTCTTCTACAGAAGTCACTGTATATTCAAAGTTGTACTTAGAATGTAGTGTGTCATTCGTTTTATATCTTAAAAAAAAGAATTTGCAGAGACTCTTACTTGCCAAATTTTATCTCAGTCCCTTCTTTTCTCTTACTTTCTCTCTGTTTTGACTCATGGTTTTTTCCAAGAAATTCATTCCAGGATTCAGTTCATGCTTCTACATCAGTTACATTTTTTAACCTAATTTCAGTGAAGCATGAACAGGTAGATTATTTACACCCGATAATATTAAAGGATTTAATATACCTCACAGTATTGAAGTGGAGTATATGTTGATTTTGTTCTTGCGATCTTGCAATATCTTTGAATGTATGACATTTTCAAATTATTATTTGTTTGCCTCTGCATGTTGAAAGTTTTCTGTGGCAATATTTATTTTACTTGCTACTGTCAATTCTTGACGATTCTGTAGTGAATTTAGCATATGTTTTCTTTGATCTTTTTGTTGGATTTCTTTATTTTCATATCCATTTTCTTCTTCCCATTATTTACAAGCAGTAATTGTGCAGGATGATTTGGGGCGTAATACTTCTGTGACAGGTCTTCCTTCTCGTCCATCTAGTCGTAATGCATTTGATGAAAATGATATCATAGGTTCTGCTGAAGCAGATATGGCCCATGTACGCCGTGAGTCTGCAGCCACTGATGCTTTAAGATCAGGATCAAATGTTCAAGGATCATCTGCCGCCCAAAATATTGGCCAGTCAGCTTCTTATTCTTATGCTGCTGCTCTAGGATCTTCCTTGTCGAGAAGCACTACTCCTGATCCACAACTTGTTGCTAGGGCTCCCAGTCCCTGCATCACACCCATTGGTGGTGGCAGAGCCATTGCTTCTGACAAAAGAGGTATTGCCAGTACAGATGCATTTAATGGTGTTTCATCTGGCATCAACGAGTCAGCAGATCTTGTGGCTGCATTGTCAGGGATGAACTTGTCAGCAGATGATGTGTTAGATGGTGAAAACCATTTGCCATCACAGGTTGAATCGGATGTTGATAATCACCAAAGATATCTTTTTGGTAGGCAAGGTGGTCAAGATCATGGTAAACAACATGCTTATTTAAAGAAGTCTGAATCAGCGCACATGCAAAATTCAGGTAAGATTAGGAGTGGGTCAGATCTCAACAATCCATCCTTTGATCGGCAGGCTGAGCTACAAAAGTCTGCTGTTTCTTCCAATAACTCATATTTCAAAGGATCGCCTACCTCCCATTTTAGTAGAGGAGGTAGTTCGCCGCCTCAGTACCAGCCTTTAGATGGTACAAATTCATCATTTACTAACTATGGTCTGAGTGGGTATGCCGGAAATCCGGCATTGGCATCCTTGATGACTAACCAACTTGGCAGCGGTAATCTACCGCCCTTGTTTGAAAATGTTGCTGCAGCATCAGCAATGGGGGCCCCTGGAATGGACTCAAGAATTATTGGAGGTGGTTTGGCATCTGGAGGTGCTGCTTCATCTGATGTGCATAATCTTGGTAGGATGGGAAATCAAATTCCTGGCAGTGCTCTCCAGGCCTCTTTTGTTGATCCAATGTATCTTCAATACCTGAGGACATCTGAATATGCTGCAGCACAACTTGGTGCTCTTAATGACCCCTCTGTGGACAGGAACTACTTGGGGAATTCATACATGAATATACTTGAGCTTCAGAAAGCTTATCTAGGGTCTATTCTCTCTCCTCAGAAATCCCAATACAATGTATCACTGGGTGGAAAATCAGGCAGCTCCACTCCTCAGGGTTATTATGGAAATCCTGCATATGGTGTTGGGTTGTCTTATCCAGGAAGTCCAATGGCAAACTCTGTTTTATCCACTTCTCCAGTTGGGTCTGGAAGTCCTGTTAGGCACAATGAACTAAATATGCGTTTTGCTTCGGGAATGAGGAATTTAGCTGGGGTCATGGGACCTTGGCATGTAGATAATGGGAACATTGATGAAAGTTTTGCTTCTTCTCTGTTGGAAGAGTTTAAAAGCAATAAAACTAAGTGTTTTGAGCTCTCTGAAATTGCTGGTCATGTTGTTGAGTTCAGGTATGCTTTTTGCTATTGGTCACTATATGCTGCCACCCTGAAGAATTAAATATGATTAATAAATTATCATTGGCAGTGCGGATCAATATGGGAGCCGATTTATTCAGCAAAAGCTTGAAACAGCTACTACAGAAGAAAAAAACATGGTTTATCAGGAAATCATGCCACATGCGCTTGCTTTGATGACTGATGTCTTTGGTAATTATGTGGTTCAAAAGGTAATCGTTTCTATTTCAATTAATTATTATTTTTTCATTAATCTTGTTTGAGCAATAGTTGTAATTGTATATTGCAGTTTTTTGAGCATGGACTTGCATCCCAAAGGAGAGAATTAGCCAACAAACTTCTTGGCCATGTTCTGACACTTAGCCTTCAAATGTATGGTTGCCGGGTCATCCAGAAGGTATTGACAATATAATATGGCAGTAGTTGATAATGATATGGATGTGTTAGGCTCTATCTGTAATTTTCTGGATATCTTATCATTTTTCTTTTGATCTTGCAATTATGTATCTCTCTCTAGGCCATCGAAGTTGTTGATTTGGATCAGAAGATAGAGATGGTTCAAGAGCTTGATGGTAATGTAATGCGCTGTGTACGTGATCAGAATGGTAATCATGTCATTCAGAAGTGTATTGAATGTGTCACTGAAGATGCAATACACTTTATTGTGTCAACATTTTTCGATCAAGTTGTGACACTCTCAACCCATCCATATGGTTGTCGGGTGATACAGGTAAGTTTCTTCTCTGCGTATGTTACTCTTATTATGTACTTAAGATCATTTGTCATATAATAATAACCTTCTATGTGACAGAGGGTATTGGAGCACTGCAAAGATCCTATAACTCAGCAGAAAGTTATGGATGAGATTTTAGGAGCAGTTAGCATGTTAGCTCAAGATCAGTATGGCAACTACGTTGTTCAGGTTTATATTTTTCTCTGATGGGTTTGTTTCTTATTGTCTAGTAGTGGAAGTATGTTTTTATGGTTCTAATGTTTTGTTTGGTTTGAACATGATATGCATTCTTGTTTGCAAGTCTTCTGCTTTCAAGCTTTTTTTTTTGAGAAATAGATTTCATAATTGTTTATCTAGACCTTTGATTGAGTGTAGTCCCAACAATTGTCACGCCACAATGTGTTTTGAAATTATTCTCATTATATTGATTTTTATACTTCTAATCTGTTCACTGACAATACAAAATGAATGTCTTTTCCTTTGGCAGTCTTCAAATCTTTACATACAACATTGTTATTATCATAAATGATATCATGAAACCTTTCAATTAGAAACATATTTTTCTTTTTATGAGTTTTACTTAACTTATCGGGAATGGCTTTGGAACACTTGTAATGCTTAAGTGACTATTGTTTTTACTTGTAATTCTTTATTTTTAAAAATATGTTACGTTATGTTATAGCTTCCTGTCCTATTTACTTTATGATTTTAAGATGCCATCCAAGGTTGGTTATCTCTCTCACATGATACAGGCTTCTGTTCCCTACTGTGCCTAATATTACATTACCTCAAATGTGATACAGTTTGCTATAACTTCGACATTCCTGTGGTATTTCATTTATATCTGTGACTTGATCTCTTGCTTTTGATTTCTTCCCTCCTTGATAACAGCATGTACTGGAACATGGGAAGCCTCATGAACGCTCTTCTATAATAAAGGAACTAGCAGGCAAGATAGTTCAAATGAGTCAGCAGAAGTTTGCTTCAAATGTTGTGGAGAAATGTTTGACCTTTGGAGGTCCTTCTGAGCGCCAATTGCTAGTGAACGAGATGCTTGGCTCTACCGATGAAAATGAGCCTCTTCAGGTTTTTTGAACTTCCTTTTTCTAATAATCCCACTCTTAATTTTGAGGCAAATTAGAAGGCAATGCTCGTATTCATTTTTAAGCCCATTGTAACCTAGGTTTATGTTCAATACCATCATAAATGTTTGTTGGAAAGTCATCTTAATTATTGACACCCGTAGCCCACCTTAGTTGTGGCATCTTTTGGGACTTCAAGGTTGGGTTTAGTCCTGTACTGACTAGAGATATGGCTTGAATAGGACTTATTTTGTGAGATCTTAGAATACAAGTTGGTTTTGAAGTTGAGTTAGCCCCAAGTCCAAATTCTAATACAGTATTGGAGTTTATTCTATATTCATTGTTGGGCCACCTGCATTGCCACTATCCAGTCTGGTTGCCTGGGCATGAAGGGGTGTTGGAAAACTGGCTTAATTTGGTCACTCCAAGCCTTCCTGAGTCACTGCCTCTTCAGGGTCACATTTATTGCAGCCCCGAGGCTGGGGTTTTAGTCCCATATTAACTGGAGTTCTTACTTAAATAGAGCTTATAAATCATTGGTTGTTTTATCTTACGAGCTAGTTTTGTGAGATTAAGTTAGGTCATTAGTCCAAATTCAAAGAATGATCACCAACGACCTCATGATTTCCAATTGAATTGCTTGAACTCAACTTGCAACATTTGTAGGATTTTTTTTATCCTTCATGTGTTTGCACAGAACATTTTGTTGGATGACAGTTATGTGTAGAAAATAACTGCTGGTAGTTATGTATTAGGAGTGTAAATCTAGTTATAAGTTGTGTAATTAGGCAGTGTGAAGTTATTTGTTGTTTGTTATTATGTGATAGGAGACTTTTGTCTCTAGGGCAGCAAGTTTGTTGTTTTATTGTGTGGTTAGTGTTCAATAGTTCTTTTTTTGTTACTTTTATCAATTTTTGTTCTTTATACAATTGCATGAACTCAACTTGCAACATCTGTAGGACTTTTCTTATTGAAATCTCCTTCACGTGTTTGAACTGAACAATTAGCTTTCCTATTTCCTGCCTTGAACTTTGATCACCTATGACCTAACTATTTCAGGTCAAGGAGAAGGGAGGTTATATCTTCCAATATAATTATTTCAATAGAATTGATATTTGTCAGTGTTGAGTATGCTTTAGTTAACTCTCAAATCTGTCCTAAAATTGATGATAGATTTTCTTGTTCAATGAGAACGTTCCCTCTTCCCAAGTTTCACAGAATAATAAATCATATTCCTCTTGTATACAGGCAATGATGAAAGATCAATTTGCAAATTACGTTGTACAAAAAGTGCTGGAAACTTGTGATGATCAACAACGCGAGCTGATTCTTTCACGGATTAAGGTTCATTTGAATGCATTGAAAAAGTACACCTATGGAAAGCACATTGTTGCACGTGTAGAAAAACTCGTTGCTGCTGGAGGTACTTACTCCTTCCATGTCATTATTCCTCAGTTGCATTTTCACATATTTCAGCATGCTTGTGCGCACGTTAGGAGCACTTTCATATGAAAGAATGCTCCCTACATAATAATTGCATCTATGAGAAACACAAGATAAATACTTCTGACGGTACATCTAATTTTTTTGCAGAAAGGAGAATTGCTGCTCAGTCTCCTCAACCTGCTTAGGTAGGTGGCTTAGAAAAATAGTCTTTGTACAGCTAACTGAGGCTAGTATGAGCTGCTGCTTCTCTTTATCTCTCAAATCAAGAGGGTTATGTTTGTGTATCGGTGAAAATGGGTAGTAGCCAATTGGAAATGAAGTTATCAGTTGTATTGCAGAACTGTACATTTTGTAGCTTTAAGTTTATACAAAGAATTTAAGTGAGATGTGGCTCAGATGTTTTAATGCAGCTGATGTCCCTATTGAGGAGATAAAATGCCTATACAAGCCTTTTTATGGTGTAAAGATTATAAAATGGTGAGGTAGTTTGTAAGTTGACGTGACTGTACAAAAATGATGGCATGTGGAGAGCTGTTCTTGTTTAGACAAGGGCAGTTTTTTCTTCTCTCTTAATCATGTGTATGGTTATTGACTATGTTTTCCCTTTCAACAAATATAATTTTTGTTGCAAGTTTACATTCCCCTTTTCTCCTGTGATATCGATAAGTCCTCATTACCAAGATAAAATTTTAAGTGCAGCTTTTGTTTTCATTTGATGTAAAATTTTAATCTAAACTAGAGTTATGCTTCAATAATTGATGTTGATTTTTGCTGTGTTAAAATGAAATTGTAATTTTAAAACATTTAAGGTACTGTCTTTATGTTTTTGTTTTTAATGAAAATTAATCTGACTCCTCTGTATGACTTTGAGGTCAGATATTGAGTTTTTGACTTATTTATGAAAAACTATATAAAAAAAATTGAGAAACAAGTTTGTAAGTTACTATGGCTTTCTTTGAATTATCTTCCTCAAGCCAACACTTCTCTACGTTTTATTTTGTTATTAGTTATGTAGACTTCAAGTGATAAACAGATACAAGGGAGATAAGCATGCCCAGTGATGCATTAGCATTCAATTTACAACTCTAGTAGTATTTTGTAATCTTGTGGCCTAAATCAAGAGAATTATTACAAGAGAAATTATTACATGATTCATATTTATAATGTATTTTATGATTCTAATCAATTTTATGCAAGTATTTGTGTAAAATTCTTTTCAATTTTCATGCAACATATAATTAAGATTTGTAGTTTAGAAAATAATTAACAATATTCAGTTACATATAAAAATAAGTTCAATCTATATTGATATTGGATCATAAATAGCTTTGTAGGAGAAATTACAAAGTACTTTAAACTTAAATGTTATTACTCAAGACATACTTTGAATATTGGTCTTTAGAGTCGGTTTTTATTTGTCTTTATAAATGGGTGTGTTATTAGTGAATATTCAATTGAGAAAGGTTCAGCTAGGGAGATCCCATACTCCCTTTTTGTTTTTAATTGTTGCTTAAGGATATGGTGGATTGGTGAAGGAGACAATGAATTTGAAAAGGAGACAATGAATTTGAAATAGTTGTTTGGTATACTTGTGGGTAAGTATAATTTGCAAGTGTAATTTACATGTCTATCTTCAACAGTTTGTAGATGATATCCTTCTCTTTTAGGAGTCTAAATTTGAAAATGTAATTGTTGTAAAAATAGTTTTAAGTTGGTTTGAAATTTCAACAAGTCTTCAAGTAAATTTTCGGTTAATTTTGCTAGACTATTGAATAGTGGTCATCTTCATGTTCTCATTGTTCACCTCGAGGTACCTTTTTAAGTAAATGCACATAAAGAAGAAGTTTGGAATCTTGTTTTAGTGAATATGTGAAAGAAACTCTCGCTTTGGAAGCAAAATAATTTATTTATTGGGGGTAAAGTGAGTCTAATAAATTCAACCCTATTTTCAATTCCTCTCTTTTTCTTATCATTTTACAGGTTACCTAAAGGAATGATAAGAAAATTTGTCAAAATTCAACTAGACTTTTGTGGGGTTCTACAGTTGTCGATAGACTTGTAACTTGGATCAAATGAGATCAAGTCTATAGAAGCAAGGATTTTGGTGGACTTGGAATTCAAAATATATCTAAATTCAAAATTGCATTCATAGCAAAATGGAGGTGGAGATCTTTAAATGAAGGTAATGCCATAAAGGTTAAAATCTTAAATCAAAATATGGTTCTCTGCACTTGCCATGTAGCTTATGTGGAAGGACTAAGCTATTCCAGTGGTGATATGATGTGATTAACTTAACTAATGAAAATTTTGAAAATGATTGGTTAAGTAGGCAATTGTCTTGTTCTTTAGGCAAGAAGATGTTTAGATTCTGAGAGGATAAATGGTTTTCTGTTGGTATTCTAAAATTAAGGCATCAAAGATTGTTTTCCTTATGTCTAGAGGATAAAGGTATTAGTTGCAGATACGGGAAAATGGGAAAGTTCTGATTGGACTTGGAGCATACCATGGAGAAGGAATTTGTTAGAAAGAGAAGTTGAATTGATTGATTTGTTGATTGTTGATATTACTTAAAATAGACCAAAAATTGATAGGATTAATAAGTGGGTGTGATGAGGTGATGATGTGAGTTGCTACTCAATGAAACACGATTATTCTTTATGCAAAATATCCATAATGAATTTGGTATTGATGCAATTAAATTGTTATGAAAGATTAGAGTTTTCTCAAAAATGTTAATTTTTGTTTGACGTGTTTTCCTTAATCATATTTAAACTCATAATCAATTGTTTTATCATAGGATTTTAATAGATGTTGTCGATCTTGCTTGTCCATTTTGTACTTTGGAGCTTGAGACAATTGAGCACTTATTATTTGGATGCCCATTTTCATATCATGTATGGCAAAAATGCTATCATTGATGGATTTGTATTCTACGCTACTTCTAAATAGTATGACACTTGCTACAACATATTGGAATCATAAGAGGTAACAAGTTGTAGAAAATTTCATTATTGATTTGGTGCTTTGTCTTGTGGTCATTGTAGCTGCATAGAAATCAATCAATCTTTTAAAAATACTAGTCCATGTATTGAGAATATATTCAAGGATGTGAAGCAAAAATCTTGAGGTTGCATAAAAACAAAAGTTACAAGAGCCAAGAATGAACAATTTGTCTTGTGCTTGGAAGAACTACAATAATTCTTACTTTTTCGGTCTATTTAGTTTGATGTTGCATTTGTATTTTTGGATTTGAACATTTTGTTTTTGTTTCTTGTTATTGGAAATCATATCATTAGTAGTATCATATTAATAAATTGTTCTTTGTTTTAAAAAAAAAAACATAAAAAGTTCATTACAATTTAAATATTATTCAAATATGTTGATAAAATATATTGATCAAAGTTAATATTGTTTAAATTATATATATATATATATATATA